CTCTTCGGAGGCTTTAAAATTCGTTTATCTGCAACTCTCCAAATATCGCTGCGTATCGAGTGGCGTGAGCATTCGCGGCATCCGCTGCACACTAACTTTTTATTTTCAAGCAAAGCAAAGATCGAGTTGGATAGATTTCTATGAACATTTAGAAATCTATCCAACTCGTTCTTTGCTAATACGTAATCCTTCTGCTATCTTCCACAATTTGATCTTCGTTAAGCTAGAACTAATTTTTCGACTCCTGAGCTTCTCTCTTCTTTGTTGAAACAGTCGAGCCCATTTTTCCACCAACGCATATGAAGGACAGAATCATGAAGATCCGACCATAAAAACTTTCTTCCGGAGTACTTACTTTTTACAAGGAATTTAATCACAGCGCGGTGCTCCAAGTTGCGAGAATTCCCAGTTTTCGTTGTCATAGTGTCGTTGCTTGTTCAGGAACGATGTTATTGAACCTAATAAAAAAATAATTATTATCAGATCGAAATGATGTGTCCCTCGCCCCTCGTATGTCATGATTTATCGCTCAATAAATAAAAAAATAATTATATAAAGTTCCTTCATTGTTAATTTTGCGAATTTTTCATTTTTTGTATTATTGTTTAACATAACTATATTGATTTTGCCTTCTTTAGTTACAAAAGGAAGGAAGGATGGGGCCATATGGAGAAGTTCACGCAAGGAAACGAAGTGAGAGGCGAACGCCATTCGGTCATGCGAAGGCTTTGGTGCTTGCCACATGAAAAATATATGCAAAAGAGCCTCGGATGGGAGACCCTCCCTTTGATGACCACACTGCAAACATTTTAAGGATCATGATTTATGGCCATGTACCTAAAAGGTCTGGTCCCTTTATTGGGAAGACGCCACTGCCCAGCTGGTGGAGGTTGAGGTTCTAGTTCTAGATGTGCGTACACTCCGAGGTCCTAGCATCCACTCCGATCACCCGCCAGCCTCTGTGCATCAAAGAACACCCGCCAACAAACACAAGGAAGGTTCAATGTCAATAAGCTACAATTTCAACAGTAGTCGCTGGCAACGGTGTTCTAATCGACTTGCACACGTGGTGTCCGAGAGCACTCATCAGCACTCGATATAAGGGAACTGTGGGACGGAATCTTAAACCCCTCTATCTACGCATGGCTGCTGAGGAAACAATTGGTTTTCGACAGTGCCTGGTGAATCGACGATTGATCAGATGTTTGCCATGCGAAGAGACTTGGAAAAGATCCGGGTAAAAAGAATTGTTGCACATAGCTGAACAGAAATTTCAGACTGGTAACTCTTCACCGCGCGAATTCTTCAATTTTATGCTTGAGAGAATATTAATAGCTGCAGAGCTGGAAAGAGAAGTTATAATCTTCTGTATGAGTGTAAAACCGCTATCATTTGCCGACGATATTGATATTGTAAAAACTAAAAACCGCTCAACGAGCAAATCAACACATTTCCAAAGCAGCGGGGCGATTTGAACCATTCTTCTTTAGAATAGGTTGAATTGATTTACTCATTTAAAAATAATCTTCATTTGGAATTTCACAGAATCGAAAATCGTGATTCTTACGAACACCAAGGGCTGAATTAACTATGCAAAAATTCTACTATTTGTGTGTTTTAAAGAAAGAACCGATTATCTAAGGAACGTTTCGAGTGGAACCAATTGAAAACGTACATTTCTTCATATATATTTTATCGCTTTAATTTTTTTTTTGCTTTTATGAATGCCGGTATTACATAGACTATAAATATGCATACAGTCTCATAAATATATGCACATATTTCTATATGCACAGGTATTGACATTTGCAAAATTGAATTTTATTTATGGGCAGTTTTACTCATACTTTTATCAAAACATTGCCATTTATTTGAATTCAATGTACGAAGTTTAACAATATAAATTCGATACTTTGTTGGCACGATAAAATTAAAAAAAAAAATTAAAAAATAAATAAATGAATAAATAAAGAGTACCTTTTCATAAATAGAATAGAATACCCACAGTCAATATGCAATTCTTTTCTGCGTCTTCATGAGAACACCCATTCAAGTGCTCTTATAAATAAATATGTACGCATGTACATACATACATACATATGTATTTCGTGTATTTGTACTTGCTACAAATGTGATGAAAATAATAGTGGTGAAATTCCCAATGAAAACGTTTCTCACATGTTTTAACTTTTTTTAAATTAATTGCAGAAACCGAAAACCCCAATTCAATTCTTTTTAATTTTGAGCTCAGAGCTTGCGTAATTTAATTGATCTTCGGAAGAAGCTTTCGCCTGAGAAATATCGTCATAGTAACATATATGTACATATACATATGACAAAATGAACAAAAAATTTATACAAGTTTTGAGCGAATTGTTTGCTCTTTATGTTACAAAAAAAAATAAAAAAAAAATTTTGGCAAAGCCTCTTTAACGATTTATGTACATAACAGAGAAAAGGATAAATATACACTCTTTTTCAATTTTAAAGCTGCCAACGACAGCACGATGAGGAGCTGCCTTGAGAATGCTATGTCTGGGCTGGGTATCCCCCCAAAACTTATACGGCTATCCTCTCCGGCGTATGTCGATAAAACTGATATCGTTAGGCCTCAACAACCGAGCCGTTAGTTTTGCCATCTCCGGACTCGAGGAGAGGGAACTGATCCAGCAAAAGCGTGGACGTTGACAACATCCGATGATCCGATAATCCGGCTTTGAAAGTCTTCCAGGTGAAGGATATATGGATGATATATGGTCGTCTGCGTATATGCGACGGCAAAAACCGCAGACAATGGAACGATGAGCTGTTTGAGATATAAGACGCCATTGATATAGTTCAGCGAATTGGGAGGCACCGGCTCCGCTTACAAGTTTTTGTCGTTGGGGTGGATAAAAAAAAGTTCCAGCTTTGGAAGTATTCGATGAGGTAGAAGAAGGACCTGGCTTCACTTGGTGTCTTTAATTCGCTCCGAACAGACAAAAGATGAATCGATTGGCGCGCTATTGTTAATTCGGCTATAATCGCGTAAGCTGGGCTAAGATGTCTAAAATGCTACTATTATTTCGACCAGAGCTGTATGTACATATGTCTGGGGCTGAAAAAAATGAAATGTAGCAAAATACTTAAATATGTAAGCACACACTCGTACTTACCTATGTATATGTGTATATATGACTGTACATATGTCTGGATGTACACTTGGGCACATAGGCAGACATATTGTACTTACAACAACCGTGTTTGTTGTTGTGTGTGTTCCGGCTTACTTTTTTGTTATTACATATTTGCCTCTTCTTTATATGCACTAAAGTAGTCATCGTCAATCGCACAAGAGTCTTAACACGGGGGAATGACGATTGCGATGTCAGTACCTTTTGGCAAGCTTTAGCATTACGAGTCAAGGCGGCAACAACAATGACTACAACGATGCCAACAGAAACCTGAGTGGCATTGGATGTGGAAGTGGAAATGGCAGCATCGACAATGGCAGCAGTAGCGATTCTGACAACGCAGTTAAATCGCAAAGGCAACAAAATACAGAAAAATAAGTGAGGGATAAAAAATTAAACATAGCTATGTAGGTACACAAGTGCAAATAAAAATAAGTGGGTAGGTATTCAGCAGCCAACAGCACCGATAACAACACAAACATCAAATAAAAGCGAATGGGTATGCACATTTATACGTACATAAATACATATGTATGCATTTTCGCATATACATAGGTATGTATGTACATATGTATATTAACGTGTATGTGTCTATACTTTATACTGTCAAAGAAGTGATGCCACCGCAATCACCGGTGGCAACGTTGTAGCAGCAGTTGTCGCCGCTGCTGCTACTATTGCTATTGCTGCATAATTCATATGCTGCTTCTGCCCACAACCTGCTGACTGCTTACTGCTGCCTGCTGCCTGCTGCCTGCTACCTTCTGTTTGCTACCAAACATCTTGTGCCGATTGCGATTACTGGGGTCTAAAAGTCTTCTTATACATAGTACATTACATACATACATATACCTAAAGATTCGTATAGAGTACATTTGTATATACATACATATATAGGTATACACAAGCGTATATTCCAATGACCACTTTTATATTTTGAGTTCCGTGCAGTCATAGCCATTCACACTAACAGGAAGAAGTAGATACGGACGACATCAAACTTTAAACGCCTTTGGTTGGCAATAATTGCGGTAAATGAGTGAACACGCTCACCTTACTGGCATCCAATTCATGCATGTGGAAGAACACCACGCCTCCCCAATATCCATAATTGAAAATGCAGATACACAGCTATACGCACATTTAAACCTTCACCCTAAACACGGAATGGCTTATAACCAGCCGTACATAGTTCGAGCAGTAGTGTCTTAGCAAAACACCAAGAGCAAGAAGGTCAGACCTATTGACAAAGCAACCATCAGCAGTCACATCCAATCAGCGACGTTGTGTGCACAAGATGCCTATACGTGTATAGCATGAATGGGAAAGAAACAACCACTCTGCGCACAACACAACAGTCGGCGCTGGTTTGACACATTGAACGTGTCGGCCATCAGTTGCCTTCTGCCTCAGAAAGCATTGTATAGGCATTAGTCGTCTCACAATCGAAGAGCAGCGAACGTACGGCAAGTTCTATGCGTGGTGCGCATGACTCAACAACGGTATTGAAGTTGAAATCGAAATTGTAAACGCGCTCTCCCAACGTATTGCAAAAGCCATGCATATCTATCTAACGGGTGACCAAGTTGACAGAAACGATCAAAGCACGGCAATAAATCGTAACGTCACGAAACCTCTCAAGTCAAATCAGTTTCAAATGTCCAGTTAATGTCGGCAGTAGAGTTTAAATATTTCAAAGGCTTTGAGGAAATGCGATCGCGTGTGTGAGTGTGTGAAAGTGTCCATGCATTGTATAAATAATACATACCGCCGCAATAAACGCGGATGTACATATGTATATAAACACGTAATATATATATGTACAATATATACATATTTACATACATATGTTGTCAAATATGTGCATAAATATACAACTAATAAAAGTGGAAACGACAGAATTGCTATCAAACATAATTTTGTAAATGGGCAGTAATGGAATATTTAATAATAATAATAAATCTACTTCTTTCGATGAAAAGTGCAAAAGTCTGAAATCAAATAAAGGGCCGTAGTACCGCATTTGTGTTTAAATTTCATTATAATAATGGCAAAATGCTTTCGAATTTTTAATTTCTAATGAAGAGATCAAATAATTGTGAGACAAGTTAAACACTAAAATTCGCTGCAATACCAAGTATATATGTACATATGTATAAACATAATCCGAATTCAGTTTAAAATCAATTATCTTATAAGCAGAAATAACTCTTTCCTCCCGCCCCCTCGGCATAACCGCTGGATTGAGTAGTGGAAGAGTATGGAGACTCGCTTACCGATTACCGCGCTGACATTGTTTGACACTATTTTTTTAGACAAGAAGCATATTCCATTCACTTACATAAATATATGTAAGCCTTACCACTATAAAAAATCTTCGAAAGATCGGAATTAGAAAATTTATGTACATATCGGCAAATATTTTTACTTTATTTGTATACTAATGATATACATATATGTACATACAAACAACAAATTCACCAATTAAGACATATTTATTTATGAATGTACTCGCTCGCATGGGAATGCTGTTTGTCCACAGCTGCTGTCACACGTATAACTATACATATATATATATATATATATATATATATGCATACATATATACATATATATATTTATTATGTATGCTTGAATGTACCCATATGTACACTTCAGCATTTTATCAAAGGTTAAAATCTTGTTTAAAGGCCAGCTAATCGGGAGGGCAGATTTTTGGCTAATACTCGCCAGCATCTATCTATTCAGTGTTGTTGTTGCCCGCTACCGCTACCGTAGGTGTAGGTTGCTGTAGTTGTTCACGTTACGAGTATGTTTTTTTTTTTTTTGACCGTTTGGTTTTTATCGTTGAGGCAAAGAGGTTGTGCAACGGCGTTCGAAATGGTCTAGTCATAAATTATTGCTTTAAATGAATTTAAAACTGTCAGCAGTGACGTTTACATTTAGCGATTAAGTTGGTTGCCCGCCAGGAAGAACCGACGTGAGAATTGAGTTGACCGTTTGCTGGCTTAAGGAAAGGTGAATAGGATGATAGCAAAGACTGGAACTCCATTAAAAATAAAAACATATGTATATGTATATGTATTTAGGAAGAGAACGCTCCTTTAACAGAACTTACGCCTATGGGTGACAACGGATTTTTTTAGTAGGTAGACAAGTATAATCGAAGTTCCGTTTTCGATTTCCTTAGTAGAGGATTTTATAATATATGATATGATGTATTACATTTGGTTCAATTTGCAACAACAACTAACTTTAAAAGAAATACTTTTATAATAGTTTTTTTCGTCAAATTAAGAATTAAAAAGTTTTATAAAATTAGTCCCAAAGAAGAAGCATATCGGTATATTTATGTATTTATGTAAATTAATATATCGTTAAAAAAGCCAAAAACTAACATATGCACACATATTAATATATTATATTATATATTTGAACACAGTGTTAGATAGTTTATAATATATTTTCATTTGTTAAGTTTAAAATATTGCTATAGGATCACCCGCTATTCTTCGATTTTGAAATTCAATTCACCTCTCTGAGCACATAAGAATGTCGTTTGAATCAATAGGAATACGTAGAGTGTGTTTTTGTGTCACGATTTGTGTGGTACTTTGCGAAAACTAAAATGTATGACAAAAAATTCCAAACAGTAGGTGCCTAATAAAAAATAAAAAATAAATGAATGAAGCAGAAAAGGTGTTTTGTGATTAAATAAATCAAACCGTCTTATTGAATCTCCTGTTTTGCCTTCGTCGACTGTTTTAAATGTCTGAAATATTCGCCGGCGTTTAAAGTTTTTAGTGAGTTATTTAATTGAGATATACTTCTCAGATACAAACGCATATTCACACGTTACGAATTTGTTTTCATAAGTATGTATATAAACAAGGACAGGTCCAGCAACGACGTCTTAATGTGTTCTAAGTAATCAAACGAAACGAAAATAAGCGAAATCCCAACAAGTGTTTCCTACTGTGAGATAGCGGCTCACTTCATAGTGTTCAAATATATTACAGAGTCGAATAAAAACCTCAAAAAAAAGAACATAAACAAATTATACCACCAATCCTTTAATGGTTGAAGTGCGTGGATGAGTTCCGTCGAGTTTTGGTTTTCTCAAAAATCAGCTGTGCAATTGGCTAAGAGTTTGTGCTGTCATAACTTGGCAGTTTATGTTTGTTCATTGGTTTCCAGCACCGAGTGCAGTACTGTTAATATCATTGTGGGTTCATTGCCTCCACGGGAATTTACACCGTTATTAAGCATCCTTGACAGCAAACCTTGAAATATTCCAAAAGACGCACATGGGCGTCTGCACCGAAGAGCGCCCTGTGATGCATTGGGTAAGTTCAGTGGTGAAGTTTATATAAAAACAAAAAAAATATCTAATGATGCTTACTCTATGTACTACACACATACATTTTTACATATCTAGCAGTGAAGGCATAATTGCTCTCGGTGCTTGCTGACAGTCTCTACTTAAAAGTGACATCAATAAAACATCTGTCTTGCAGGATTTATTTTAACCTATATACATATAATCTCCGTCCTCAATCCCTTGACGAATATTTAATGTGTCTTGTATTGAACTGAGCCAAAAATTCCCTTCGACTGCGTTGATAAATATCGTTGGTGTGGTAAACCAACTTTTCGAAAACATGTTTAAGCAAAGAAACTATGGAAATTCTGCTGTTTCCAATCGAGGTATTGTCTTAGAATCGTAATATATCATCTGTAAACTCTCTCAAACATTTTCATCGATAAACATGTGTGAATGTGCATATACGTGTATATAATATATATATACATACATACATATATATCTGGTACCATACTAACCGTTGAATAAATTTTCGGTAGAGCTACTCGGTTTTAATGTTTTTCAATAAATAGAAGAAGTTAAACTCTGCTCTAAGCCGGCTCCGGGCGGCTGAGGGCTATATATGAAAATTGAACATATAGTAGCTTAACACCTTTGGGTGATAAAGTCTATATTATGAAAAAGCTCTACAGGATAGCAAACTCAAGTGATGCCGATACAGGGCAAATAGGTCGACCGTGTACCTATTCTATGGTGTCACGGTATGGTGGCCGGCACACCAAAAATTGCTTTCAGCAACAAACTAAAGAGACCCAATTTGCACTGCTAACTCTACCCAACGTCCTTCCTCTGGACTTGTACGGCAAATTACAAGCTCTCCTTTGTGTAACAACATCCCATTAAAAATGGTTGTGAAATCCAGAAGAAACCCTTCTATCTATAATAAACCACGCACACGATGCAAGTGTACCTTTTTCAATGGCAATGTATTTGCCGAAAAAGCAATCACTAGAAGGCTGAATGAGATCATGTGCAATGTGCTGCCGGTTTTCTAATAACATAATGGCAGGTGTAATAACAGTGTACTGTTTAATGGGGTTTCATGAGCTATAACTCTAATGATTTTTTACCGGAGTTGTGGTGACAAAAGTTCCTTGCATTGTAAACAAGATGTGTCATTGAAACCCCAGCTGCAACTCCAAACCTCCTATTACCCCTTGATATTTACCATTTACATAAATAGAAGAACATATGATTTTTTAGAGTAAATGTTACTTGTATACACTTGGACCTATTAACTTTAAATGTCCAAGTAGATAGCTTTGTTGTAATTTGTAAGTGGCTGTAACGTTGTTCGAGTGTGTAGTCTAACTTTTTTGCATAATTCTAAAGAAACTTGATCAGACTGGATCGGTTACAGACCTTGTATGGCAAGTGGATATCGCTACTGTATGGAATAGTGTAGCCGAAGACTTTCACATTCTTTCATTAAGGCTCCGAGAATATTCAAATAATTGAAGAGAGGCTATCACACCAAAACAAAACTTCTCTCTAGGCTTCGGAGGCGTGATTGGATCTTACTTCTTTAAAAGCGACAACCGCGAGACTCTCACTGTCAATCGTATGAGTTAAAGTATACGACTTGAACGATATATGGTTTCAAAAGAAAGGCCGTAATATATCGTGTTGACGATCTCAATTGGCCACCGAGATGGATTTCGGTTTTGAAGCTATGCGAAAGACTGTGTTTGCGCGGTTAAACCTTTAACTCTTGAGAATTTGAAACCAACATTGCGAAAATTCCCGAGGCGGTCAATTGAACCATGTAAGGCATGCGTGTGTTTCACAAATAATGCCATGGTTCTATCTTTATAATAAAAAGGTTTTCATGAAAAATTATTTTAAATGTATTTACGTTTATTTTCCAAATCACAAATTGTTTGCATGCTATGATCTGATTGTATTCTAAGATCTCTAGCCTACCACAATTTGGGAGATTATTTTTTTTTTCTTAAGGTAGTTGGTAAAAAAGTAAATCACTTGGAATAAAATTAAATTGATTAAATAAAATATAAAAGTAAACAGTCATTGTGTAAGAAATACTAAGTAAGGAAAATTATAAAGGAATTAAAAAATAATGCGACATTTTTGGCGTAGTGTCCAACTAATTTTGCTGATTGCCCTTGTTTAAATCCTGGTATGACCAACATCTAAAAATTGTAGAAAATTAATTTAAATACAATAAAATATTAAGCTAAATTTTCTAATTGCATTCGCCCCTCGGCAGGGAATGACCACCCCTCCGAGTGTATTTCTGACATAAAATTAAAGGCTCCTCGTAAAAAACCATCAGCCGTTCAGAGGCGGCGTAGTGTAAATTGTAGGTCCTTCCATTTGTTGGAAAAACATCAAGAAGAAAAACCACAAATTGGAGGGGCTCGGGTCGCCAATTATTTTTTCCAGAAATTGGCTGAAAAATGTATTTTTGAAAAGAAACAACTTTACATACCTATAAATTTCAAACGACACCATTGAACCAACCTTGAAAAACTGTAAATTTGTCCAAATACACTTATTTCATAAACAAAATTGTATTTACTTACACGGGCTAGAAATTCACCGAGTCAACTCTACCACCTTCCCTCAAGTATGTAATGGCATTATCATCGTAAATCTCGTAGAGCTCATCGAACCATCATTCCAGATACCTCGATACTCAGAGTATGAACTCATAGGGATTTTTAGAGTTAAGATTCTGGTCTTCAAAACTGATATAATTTTTTAAATATTGTCATTGAAGTGGAAGCGCTTGTTTTTGAAGACAGAAGGCATTGGCTTTTGTCCTCATTTGCTCATTACTTTCGTTTCCTTATTTTGTCGGGAGGAAGCAGAGCTAGCGGTGTTGTTGTTGAGACCCATGATTCCACTATAATCGGCATCTGCCCGTTCTTATCATTTTTGAAGCTCTTATATTTGTCTCTTGCATAAAATAAGTAACTTACAGGATTAGGAATTAGCTTGTGTAATTGAATATAATGGTATCGGAAAGCCGGATAGCGAGTGATCCTACTCCCTCTTAAAGATTGGATTGAGCAAACGTTCCGATTGACGAGCACCATATTACTTAATAATTATTTATAACCAATTTAAACATTTTGTTTAAATTTTTAGTATTACAAGTGTTTTAATATTAATGAATTCTTCTTTATTGGCATTGGCACGGGTTACGAATCAGCGTCTGGCGCCAGTTGGAAAATACCAAGTGAAGTGAAGAAGAGGTCCATTCGGACGACATGACCAAGCCAGCGCAGCCGTTGTCTCTTCATTCATTGAAATGTGTCGATATCGTAGTATATCTCGTACAGCTCATCGCTCCATCGTCAGTGGCATTCGCCGTTGCCAATGCCCAAAGGACCATAAATCGTTCGAAAACTTGTCTTTCAAAGACTCCTATAGCCGGCTCATTAGCTGTTGACATCGACCATACCTATGCGCCATATAGTAGGACAGGTATGATGAGCGACTTGTAGAGTTTGGTTTTCGTTCGCCGGGAGAGGAATTTACTTTTCAATTGCCTCTCAATCCAAAGTAGCACCTGTTGGCAAGAGTGATTCTACGTTGGATCTCCAGGCTGACATTATTATTGGTGTTAATGCTGCACTAGATAGACGAATTTATCAACAGGAGATATTTCGCCTTGCCCTTATTCACTACCAGACCGATTAACTTCGTTTATTTATCATGTCTGGAGAAAGCAGAACTCACGGCGTGGTTGTTGAGGATAATAATGTCAATATCATCGGCGTGTACCTCTCTATTCAGCTCTGCAATCAAAAGGGGAATCTCTCATCCGAAGCTGACTAAAATTTTTCCCTGGATTTTGTATTTCATATGGTGGGTCCCAATCCCTACGCATAACCGCAGGTGATTCGTTTTCTCACTTTAGCTCGCCTCCAAACGGATGTTTGTTGGCTACCCGGGGAATACGTAGTCTAAGACCGGAAGTCGTGAGCTGCTTGAACCATATGCAAAGAATCGTTTCTGTCCACTCCCAGGTGAATGACAGTCAAAAACGTTCCTCACTTGCGTGAACTTCTCCACATGGCCCCATCCCACATGAATTGCAAGAACTTTTAAAAGAATTATGAATTTTCAAAATTCTGTGCATTCTGTATTTATAGATTAAATAAACAAATTTCATACATTGTGTTTTTTTTTTTGTGAATCTTAACAAATTTGATATTTCTTTGAGGACTCGGGAATAAGTACAGCTTATAAGAAATTAGAGAGGACTTTTTGAATTACATCATTCGTCATATTTGGCTCAACTTTGTATATTTATATAATATATATTTATTATGTATATACTCGGCCGCAATAGGTCTTGGTTCAACCAACATGCAACATCCAAATAGAATAATATTTTTTTCTATTTGCTATCGCCCTTCTCCAAGAAATACCTGACATGAAATAAACGCTCCCATAGCTTCGGAGGCAGGAGCTCGAGTGACAATCGCTTCAGCGGCTGCAAAGCACCAAATTTATATATTTTGTTTATTTTTATATATTACTGGATTGTGGGAGTGAGTGTCAATAATATAAGCAAGAAACAAGTTGCTACACCAGGAAAAAAAATTTTCAGTAAAAATTTAGCAAGCAGACAAACATATCAATGATTTGTTATTACATGGAAGAATTTTAGTCAACAAAATCGGCTAAACGACTTAAAATAAAACTATTATTTACTAAGGAATATATAAATTGTTCCTGCCTAATTCGTACGGGCGTTTTCAAAAGAATGAATTATGAAATTAGTAGAACGCAATTAAATTCTACTAAATTTTGAGATTTTAGTCCCATTCTAATCGTTGACAAAATTATTCCACAGGAATGACGAGAGCCATAAAATTTATGTAACCTTTGTGTACATGCCCCACTCTAGAAAAACATGACAACTCGAAAAATATGAAATGCTCAGGAGAGGCGAATGAGGGAAGACTGTGATTTAAAGGAATTTCGGCC